TGTTATTATTTGATAATTGTTTTGGAAAAAGACATATACATTAATATGATTATGGATATTAATGTATATCCCCAAACTCACTTTCTTTTCCTTTACAATAACGCCTTGAATCTCTCATACTTGTGAGTGAGTCTAGTATATAAGTGTAAAGACCAATTATTATTAATAACTTGAGCTTGAACTTTTGAGAGTTTGTAGATCTTGACTTAAAGTGTTGTTATATTAATAGTAGGCTTTGACCTTAAATCATTTTACTTGATATCAAAGCGGTCACCTTTTGTGAGTGTGGAATCATGTTGAGCATCACAGTGGTCTAGTAGGCTTAGTTTTGATTGTATTTAGGCTCAATGAGAACATCAAGCATTTAAATGAGAGAAATTATAATGCCTTGAATCCCACGTCAATAGGGACATATGAGTGAATTTGGTATATAAATGTAGAGAACAACCATTATTAATAACTTAAACTAAAGTTTTCAATAAATTTTAAGAAAAATCTAGTATTAAACTCAAATTTTCTTTTCAAAGAAATCATTCCAAACATAATGAACTTCCAAAATGAAGACTTTTTTTAAAATGATAAAAATTATATTTTAGAATTGAGAGAAATTAGGTTGTTTGGACAATTAAAATATCATGAATAATAATAGAAAAATTGAAATATCTTTAATGAATCAATATGTAAAAAAAAAAATGTTTAAATAATTTCGCAAAGATCCTGACATTTAAAGTGTCAGAATGTTCTAATTTTCACTTTTATTTTATAGATTTTTAAAATCAAACAAATTCAGAATTATTTTTTTGACATAGAATTCAAAATTTTTCAAAAACAATAGAATTTATATAGGAAAATGAAATGAATTCAAATTAATTGGCATACCAAACACACCCTTAAAATATAATGGTAAGAAGTATCTGTTACTACCATATACTTAATCCAACTACTACTTAGAAAGTTTTTCAGATCCATAGAACCGTTAACATGACTACATAAATTGACAAAGGGCTAAAATGGACAAGTGTCTCTTAGGCATGGTCTAATTTGAGGGATGGAGAATTCAAAGGGCTTTGAGGATGTCGTCTGCACTGGAAACAGTAAATTCTCCAGCAGATTCAACATTTGCAGCCTTCACATATTGAGGTCATCAACCAAGAGTGCAAACCTTCTAGATCGAGTACCAAGCCCTTTCTCATTGAGGTCAAGTTCAAGGCCGAGGGCGTGAGTGTATGCTGCTGAACCATCAGCTAAGAACTTGACATGCTTGTTCTCGGGGAAAGTCTTGGTCCATGCCTTCATCACAAATGGATCATTGACTACACACACTACTGGAAAAATTAGTATATTCGACAGCGGATTCTGTCGAATATGAGTGATTTTCTGTCGATTAAAATATAATCGACAGACATCTTCGACAACTTTTTTTATCGAATATACTGCAGTCGATAATCAATATATTCGACAGCCAATTTTTCTGTCGATTAAATAAGTTTAATCGACAGAAATTTACTATCGAATATATTGATTATCGACAGAATTTCTCAAATTTTGTCCAGTTATCTTCGACAGCCAGAAGCTGTCGAATAAACTTGTTTAATC